GGAACTGTGATAAAGATAAGTGTCGTGGCTACAGTGCTATGCTAATTTAAAAACCCAACACAACTACCAATATACTTTAATGCACTGTATGCCGCATGTGGAAATGCCTGTGCATGAACCTGAGCAAATGCAAATTTTGGCCTTTGAATGTGCTTAGTGTAATGTGTAAGTCTCAGTGTTCATGCATCTGCATGTGACTCTGTATGTGTACGGGTGTACCTGCCCTCCTCTCTGCTTATAACTGTGCATGGATGTGAATTAATGAGTATGAGCAGGACTGCTTGGTCTGTGATAAAGTATCTGTGTCCTGCAGCCCGGTCTGGCAAAGCTCACCTGGACTCTGAGTCCTGCTGTCAGCTCCCATCTCCCTCCCTAACACAGCCCCCAGCCCACGGAGTGGACACTCTCTAACCTTTGAAACATCCACAGTGGGCTGCCTGATTCCCCGTGACATGCCAGGCTCACTCCCTCACAGCATTAGCACAAATGGGCAACACCTTATGTTTGGCTAGCATACATACACAGTTTGGGGATATCTGATGTTTTTCTGCAACGTGGCTAATGCAGGGGACGCTTCACATCTCATTGTCTCTTCTTCACCCCCTAAACTGAGGCTGGTTATGTCGGTGAGGGACAAAAGACACAATAAAACAACATTCAAGGACCAGAAGATGTTTGTGTATAAGTACCCTACGGAACAGATGCAAACTCACAAAGGCATACTGCACTTTTCAAAATACACGCAATCTAAAAAATAAAAAGTCATTACTGGGGTTACCGTTGTACTTTAATATGTAACCATGCTCACAGCACGGCACTAGGGATGGCAATGACGGTTGATTTACCACTTTGGTCCGCACTGAATTATCTCGACAACTATTGAAAGGACAAGCACCTTTTTACACAAACATTCAGGGGTCCTGAGAGGATAAAACCATAAGGCTGTATAATGGACGCAGCCACCGTAACATCACCTCATCATGATCTCCCGTTTTAAAGCCATGAGTTCGGCATTTTAGACATCGCCATCTTGGATTCTTGAAACCAGAAGTGACCGTACTTGGATGAAAGGTTGAAGATAGCTCTAATGCTTGCAGCTAGCTTGGTTGGCACGATGCATTTACAGCTGTGGTTGACTTGACAATTATAATGCTAATGCTAATTTTCAGGCTTAGAAGCTTTAAAACAAAATGTCCTTTGGCCAATTTCTGTAGTCAGTAGTGACCATATTTAGACCAGAGAGAGGAGATAACCCTATCACTAGCAGCTACCTTGGTTGGCACAATATATTTACAGCTTCAATGTATAATAATTACTAGATACCAGACCCCAAGGTAGCACAGATTCAGTCCAACAGAATTGCTTTCCTGGCCCATATGCCCAAAAACGTTTCTAGCTTCCGCAGTGCACGCTCCACTTAACATGCCCAATAGTGTTTCTTCCACTGGCTCCACCCGCAAGTTGCCACTCGGCTTACATAATGATGACATCACTGATTTTTAAATCGCTTTATTTGGCACAATAAAGTTTTATGACTATAAAATCTCCATAGATCAAAAATTAATAATAGAAAGAGTCATTACTGACCTTGTTTACAGTTTGAGGTCTCTATTTTAGTGGTGATCTATGAGGAAAATGCTTTTTTAATGGTGATTAACTTGCTTTGGAGCCAGCCTCAAGTGGCTAGTCGAAGAACTGCAGTTTTTTTGCACTGCTGCGTTGACTTCATTCTTCAGCCCCAGAGTCGCTGCTTGTATAAAACTGAATAACTTTGCTGATCTGGCAAATCAGCAAACTGACAACAGATCCATAACTGAAAATTGGACTTCAGATGAAGTCTTCATAGATGACAAAAGCGAAACATAGTCCAACAATAATGTATCTTTCTGAAATTGCTCTCTACTAAATAAGAATTAGATATGCAATGTCTTTGAACTTGATCTTGTAAAACAGATTAATTCAGTAGTCGTCTGACAGGATGATATTGATACTTGACAAAGATCCTCAGCGTTGCATGAGTCTCTCATCTCCTGTGTGTTTCTCAAAGAACACAACTGACGATGATGACACATATCCACGAGGGAAGATTTAATTTTATTGCATGACATCCTTGTCTTATCCAGTGACACCATACATACTGGTATGTATTTGTATCATGTTGTGCATTATGTGGCATCACATCATATTCCCTATCTAGTCGACTGCATTGCACCCTTGTGTGTTTGTCTCACAACATATTGGATCGTGTCACATCACAAACTGTATAGAAACACAGCATTGTATTGCATATCATCCAATCCCATCCAAGCTGTCATGTTATATAAGACAACTCTATATGTCATCATATCCCCTATTCTGTCACTCACTCAGCTGCTGCAGTGCCTCGATCTTCAGCTGATGCTGCTCCAGAATAAGAGGTGCAGGGGTGTTAAGTGGGTTAAGGACTGGGAGGATTACCTGGGCCTTTGCTGCTGCCAGCCTCTCTCACTGACTCACTCAGTCAGGGTGGCCATTTGGCAGCTCTATAGCACAGCCAGTCTGAGCTCTGAGAGGAAAAAAAGGCAAAAAAAAAAAAGAAAAGGGAAAGAGAGGGGAGGACCCAGGACTTCACAGGACTATGGATTAAGAGAGCACCATTCACAGAAAACCGGTCAGAGATTGAGTAAAGCCAAAAAGATGATACAGGAGATTGCAAACTGTGCTGTGAACTTACTCCTTACTCCCACTCTCTGACTCTGTTTCACTTTCTTCTTCTTTACCCCCACTCACAGAGCTGCTACGAGCCACTCACTCAGAGGCAAAGTGAGCCATCTTAGAGGTGCAATCAAAGGCAGCTTTTGATAAGCACCTCTGACTGGCATGTAGGGCCACCACAAGGTCACTGAGCTCTCCTCTGACCAAGAGAGAGGCGCAGTCTGCACTGGCAACACATCAATTACTGCAGGCAACAAAGGATGAACTATAACAACACAATAACCTGCTCTGTCTGGGCAGAGAGAGGGCAGCGGAGATGCTGTTCGGATAAGTGTCTCAATACTGAACTATAAGGAGAGAAAGAGGGAAGTGGAGGCGGGGGTGGAGAGTGCATGTTTTCTTTCTGTGCCCAGAGCAGCATCCAGAGAGCAGGCTTGGCAGCGATCCATGTGTCCCTTGGCGTTAGTACTGCAGTCACATTACATTTCCCCTCTCCACTAGATCGCTGTGTGCCCAGCCGACGCTCCCATCCAGGACATGTCGTGTCCACTTTAGACTTTAGGCTCTCTGGCTCGAGCTAATCCAACAGCTAACAAACTGGAGCAGACTGCTGAGTATATAATTGTGTAAATAATTCAGGTCGTCTGTGAATGAAAGGGTTACGGCACATGAGTTTGCTGAGATATTGATGAGCATATCAGAACGCTATTTGCTGTAAACTGGAGCCGGCTGACACTGAGTGTGTTTGACAAAAAAAGGGAACTCTTCAGCGACTGGACTTGGTTCACATGCTCACACATCCACATGCACGACAGAGAGTCAAAACCTAGCAATCCGTGTAAGGCAGGCCTCCATGTTCTGCACATAAAATTAAAAAAATATTGCTCTTGACTTCCTGCTCGCTGATACTGACAGCCACACTGAGATCCACATGTGCCACATACTCCCTGTGCTGATCCTGCACCAATTAATTTCATGAATGACTAACTCGTGTTTGGTAACAAACTCCCAGTGGCTCTGAGCTTACCTCAATAGCCCCCACCCTTAGCTCCCCAACCCCCCAACCCCACCAGAGAAGTGGCACTGCCAGGAATAGTCACAGGATAATGGAGTCAAAAGCCTTGTGCCTATAATGCGCAAGAGGGAAAAATAATTACAGATCCTAGGCTTAAGATTAAAGTGAGCGAGCCAGTTTCTGCTCCAAAACCAGTGCATTTGCACGTTTGTGGGTTACGCTACTCTTGTTTACTCAAGGAAAAAACTAAAGCCAAATGTAGATGCATTCACTCTAATGCATTTAGATGTCTGGAGTACACTTAGTTCAGCTTCTTTGAGCAGCAGAGTGTCCAAGCTGTCACACAAACTGTGCTATTACCACAACACTTGTGCTAGAAACAAGTCTGTGAGCTTCCTTTGAATCCAAGTTCTGCTTTGCTGAGGAGGGACCAAAGGATGGAACATTTTGGACAACATTTTTACACAACATGGCCCTGGAGAGAGCTGGGGCCATGTTGTCTAAACTGTTGATTAGTTTTGGCATGTGTAGAGATAGATTGCCTGCCATCTTTTCATTATTTCTCTGAAACCCCCCAGAGAGAGGGCATGGAGATGGACTTGAGCAGGCAAGGCATAATTAAACTTCCACAAGCAGGTCATGTGCTGTTAAACGCTTTGCCACTATTTCTCATTACTTAACAGTGTAGTCTAAATGATACGCTGTCACTGGGCAAATTAATTGGTATTTGGTGAGGGCAGTATGGCGGCATTGTCTCCTACATGTGTCATAGGCTTTGTGGGACCATGAGAGGGCTAGGCATTATCTGACCCTGATTAAGAACATAACACGAGCTAAGTACATAACAACTCCGGGTTACTGCACAAGTCTTAAGCATTCATATGGTATGTAATTTCACAGCTTTCTGACCCCTTTGACCTTTGAATGCATATTTCTCAATTTGCGCTACAGCAAGTGCTGTTTTCTTAATTTGGGTTTGCCCTACATTTAAGAGACAGCTCATGATGTGAATTAAGGGAAAAGTCCTGCATAAACCATGAAGCAGAATTTTAAGTGAGGTGACAAGCACTGCGCAACATACCACTTCATGCTCACAACGAACTAATATCAGACCCAGAATAGCATTATCCAAATGCCTCACAAATCAAAATTTAAACCCAAGCCAACCTCTTAAGGTACCAGAGGACAGCATTATTAATATTTAAACAGAGCAGATTTAAGCTCCACAGAAAGATGTGTGTGTATGTGACCTTTGAGTTTGTGATTCTGGTGCAGCGCCAGCTCGTCTTACCTCCAAAGTAGGAGCCATCTGACAGCTTGGTCTCTTTATTGCCTTTGGTTAGTACACTGACAACCCCATGCTGTATGAAGTACATTTTTTTGCCAATGGTGCCCTCCCTGATGATATAATCCCCAGGCTGGAACACCTCAAACTTCAGTTTGGTGAGCATGGAGGTGACAAAGTTGGGGTCGGCGTTGGCAAACAGAGGCATGGACGCCACCAGCTTTCGACAGTTAAAGTTGATGATTTCCTGTGGGAGCACACAATGCAGTTAGCAAGAACAGCAGCAAAAAAACTGGTGCTTTACAAAAAGGCATTGGTCTGTGACAACTTCAGAGAACGGGGATATTAAAGTAACAACAGCAAAAATGTCAGCTGTGCAGACTTTTTTTTTCGTGCTCCTCTCACTTCTACCTCTCACTACTACTTTTGGCCTCAAGAAAAGAAAGCTGAAGTAAACTGAGGGGAATGTCAAGCAGCACCACAAGCTTCTGAATGCATCACATGTGCAGGAGCTCCAAACCCAGACAGGAATACTCATCCCACCTCTCGCAGCGGCTCGTTGAGCTCTCCCAGGATGCTCTCCTCGTCGAACATCTTGCCTTGGTAACGGTGCTCGTAGTAGTCATGGATTCTCTGCCTCATATCTGCCGGCAGCTTGTGGAAGGACATGTACTGCTCCACCTGTTTGTACTGCAGGGACACAGAGACACACAACAATCAGGTTATTCAAAGGCCATAGTGCTGTAGCATAGATACACAGCCACAGGGAACAGCTGGCGCTGAGATCAGACACACAAGGAAATGGAGACAGATACGTAGGCTCTTGCAGGTTACATCCAACAAAATAGCACTTTTCCAGTCTTTGATCGTGCCTGTAAATTGACACAATGTACTATCTCCATATTTGTTGCAAACACCTTAAATATTACTTTAAATATCTCACGACTTCTCTGAAGGCACTGGAGAATTGAGAGAGGTATGATCATTGTCGAGTGTTAAGTCATGCTGGCAAATCACTGGAGCTTGTAAAGGGTCTGGATTGCCACTGAAACATTAACAGAGTAAAGTAAATGTGTCACTTTAATATCCAGTTGGAGTTGTCACTTTCAACATTAAATTAATTTGAAGCACTATAATCATTTTCATCCAAATATAGTATCTATTAATATTGTACATAAATCGCATAACTGATTGCAGGATACTGCAGTGTCTTAGTCTAGGGTGTATTTTGACCCTTCAGGATACTGCAGTGTCTTAGTCTGGGGTGTATTTTGACCCTTCAGGATACTGCAGTGTCTTAGTCTGGGGTGTATTTTGACCCTTCACTACAAAGTAGAAAGTGAGAAAAAGAAGCAAAGGAATGATGTCATTACAAATCCAAATAATGCATTTAATCTATAGACTGTATAATAAAGATGGACACCATGACAGCTTCCTAAAAGTGAAGCCAAACCATCTTGATTTCCCCCTGGTGATGGCTGGCTGCAGTATAGGTCATAAACCCCGCCCCCTCTACGTTAGCGGATGGGATATTGGTCAAAAAGATCAAAGTACATGTCGAATACATTTATCCCAAAGATGGTTTCTGTCATTTTGGGTGGTTCTTATCACACTGATGTATGTTCAAGTGTTCATTTCCAGGTTTGGTTTTAATTAGTTATTTGATGTCATGAAAAGGGGTTTGACGTCATGATTGACAGCTGTGTGTCAATCGTTGTGCTCATGATTAATGGCGCTGCTCACGATTCGAGATCGCTATTGTGGAGACTCTGGCTCCAAATGATGCCAACAGTGAAAGGCAACAGCGGCCATGTCCAGGATTTTTTGTCATCGTTTTTATACGGTGGGAGTAAGTGGAGATGCATTGTCCATCTTTTTATACAGTCAGTGGTTTAAACCAGTGACAGGTGAGAAAAGAAGCAGTAGGGAAAACAAGAAAGAAGACAAGAACAAGAAAAATAGATGTGCATGTACATTAGGATAACACACTAGAGAGATAGATGGAGTGCCTTTACTGTATGTGAATGTATGTACCTGTGTGTGTTATTAAATGTTACTGTGTGTAAGTATGTGATAGGTTTACAATACTTTGCACCTAAAAGCAGTCATACCAAGAAAAACAGAAATATGTTAAGTATTTAGTGTGAGCATATTAATGTAGGACATGACTGCAGTTGAAATAACATACATGTGTGCTGAAGCTAGCAACAAACACTTAGCAGTTTATTTACTGTATGTTTTACAGTAAATACTGCGCGCGTGTGTCTGCATCATCCAGTCTTTATGTAGCTTGTTAAAAATAAAAGTATTAAAATTTATGGCCTTTCATTGATGCTACAGTATAGGAAGCAGAGATGCAGATCAAAGCACACTGAGAGCACCTCGGGAATAATAACATGTAGAATCCTTGACCCTCAGTGAAAGAAAAAAAAAGTAGGAAAAAAAGAAGAAATTAACCATTCATAGGGCGATGCTGGAGGTGCTCTTTGATCACCAATTCTACGCTGCCAACAGCCTTACCACTCAACGACACGGCTGACCTCAGATGTCTCCCTCTTTGTTATCCCACTCTACTACCCTAGTCACCACTAATCTCGGAGGAGATCATCAAAAGGACAATCTTTTGGAAATGTAGCACAGTAAATAAGGACAGCTGTCTCCTGCAAGTCAGATTGTTTTTTGGGGGAGCAGAAAAGCTGTCAGGCTTCCTGAAAATCAAGAGATGTGAGTGGAGTTGGAAGGAAACACATACACGGGTTAGAATCCAGTGTTATAAAACATGCAGGCCGACTAAACTACTGTATAACCACTTTGGAATGAGTCTGACTGGCACCGTGCTGTGTTTGTAAGCCTCTACAATGCTCACTCCTGCAACGTTCTCTTTTTCCTCCCCTCTTTGCCAAATTCAAATGGATTTTAGTTGTGTTTGACCAGAGCCTTTTGAGTCCCTCACAGACAAAGAAAACAGTCTGGAGTCAGTCTGTGCATATAGATGACACAGCTCCCTCGACTGTGACCGGTTAGCTACAAACTGTTGCATACCCCAGCTTGTAATTGTGATTTGTAATGCATTGTAGCTGCACAAAGACATTCATAAACACTACAAGGTATACATATATATATGCAGGTGCAAGGGTATAATGTGTGCATATGAAAACACACGCCCACAGTCTACAGCAAGAAATGCTGCACATAAGGCCGATTAAGTGAACTATCATACTGTATGTTCAACACATCTGATATACTTAAAATATCGGTTCACCTTTTAGCAATGTTAAGTGAAATATTAGACAATTTATATGTGTCAAAGCTGCGTGAAGTTAAATACTTGCAGAGGCAAGAATAAGATGTGAAAAGAATCTTTTACATATCCGGTCTCTGTGCGTCTGTGGAGAGATGGATGAGTTCTGTCATGGGGTAAGGGTTTGAGTCTTTATCCCTCACAATCCCTTTGGCATAAAATTGAGCATTTACTGATCTGATGATGAAATAGAATCCTTACACAGAGAGGAACTTTTCCTCCTCTGCTCAGAAAGACGGAAAGCTCTAGAAAACAATCGCAGACATCTCCAGCTGCAGTCCCATTAGCCGCAGCGTATTGCAGCAAAGATGTGCTTGTCTGCGTGTGACGCCAGGGTGAAGATGACAGGTGTAACCCACATTCTGCATCTTGTCTAATGTCTTTATGTCTCCTGCATTAGACATGCCACAGCATGGCGCTCTGTTTCAAAGGCGTGGATTATCATCTCCTTATGAATGTCTCAACCCTTTTTTTTTTTTAACATTCATTAAAAAAAAACAACCATTTATCCTCAGCTCTGCAGCATGTTACAATTTGATTCTCTCAGCATGAAAGGGCATTAGTCAAGTGAACAAATGCAAGATAATGTCTTATTGCTTTTATATTGTCTACATACAGTGGCTCAGTGTCTCAGTCAAAGCATATTTACTAATCACTGCTATGTCTGAGAGGAGGAGCTGACAAGGATGTAAAGACGCCGACCATGGGGGGCCGGCGCTCTCTTGATGCTGTGATGGGCTGATAACACCCCCTGTGATGGGAAATTATCTTATTGCTCCACAGCCGCCATCACACTGCCACCAGGAAGATCCCAGCTCCCCTGCTCTACGTGGCTAAATCAAATCATAGTCAGCATTAAGGAGGTAATCATTCCACCATCAGCCTCCCTCGCTGCACTCTGAAAACCAGGAGGTTCAGGCTACGAAGGGGGTGGGGGGGATTGTAGAAGTAGCCGATGAGAACTATTAGATTGAGTCTTTCTTCTTGCTTGTAGCTTGCTTGCTTGTAGCTCTTCATTTTGGGAAATATGCTAAATTGTTACATCAAAAGAATCATACCTCTTTCATATTTCTATGGTAACCACGAGCAGCCTGATAAGTTAGTTTAGCATAGGGCATAACAGCTAGTCTGGCTTTGTCTAAAGCTCAGGCAATCAGCAAAGTCTGGCAACAATAAGACTCCAGGAAGTTACAGTGCCTGACCAAACAAGAGTCATACAACTATCTTAAAACAGAATAAACAAACAAGATATGATGTGTTAATTAGTGAGTTTTGAGGTGCTGGTAGGTTGACGGCGTCATGCTAGCTGTTTCCCTTTGTTTCCAATCTTTGTGCTACGCTAAGCTACCAGGCTCCAAGCTATAGCTTTATATTTAACAGACAGATGAGAATGGTATCAATCTTGTCATCCTACTCTTGGCAACACAACAAATAAGTCAAATTATTCCTTTAAAGAAAGAGTTTCACAAACTTTCATCCAGAGTTTTGGTTTTAGTTTGGCTCTTGATGATGAATTTTAACGTTGATTTGTTTGTGATATTTACACAGGGTTCCTACAATTTAAGGCAAGTTAGATTTAAGACTTTTTAAGACTTTTTTAATGCCACTTGGAAATTTAAGACAAATTTTTCAATTATTAAAATCGAAGAAGAAAATAAAAGCATGAAACAAGATCATTTTGCGCAACAATTTTGCCCAAATGGTTTTGTAACATAAAGGATGACTTGGCGTTTTTGTGTTCCTCACTCTGCATATGGGATTCTGATCGTGCCAAGTTTGACGAAACCTTTTGCACAAAATACACCAAGCCTTATATCCATTGCCTTCTACTGGTTTCAGCCATGACACTAAATCTTGGTTAAACAGCCAATTTTCACTGAATCTGCACTTCCCCATGTCGTCCAGGGTTTAGTGACAGTTAGCTAGTAGACAGTGGATCCTCTGCTCTGACCATCCTGACGGAAAAACAAAATACGAGTGTTGCTGCTTCTGCTATCCTGATCTGCAAGCGGTTAAGGTCTGGTGTGTCGGATTTAGTGGCATCTAGACCAGGGGTGTCCAAACTTTTTTGAATGGGTGCTGGAAATAAAATAAAATGAAAAATTACATACAAATAGGATGCAACTGTTGCATCTTTCAGTGAATAAGTATTCACCTTTCAACTGCTTCTGAAAGCATTTCTTTGCTGTGGCCATGTCGGCTACCTAGCAGGAAACTTTTGCTGTTTGGTACAGTAATTGTTCCATTTACTTGTTTACTATCTGTTTGTGAAAACACATCAGTTACACTGGCATAGTTCGTTCTTGGTGCATGTCTGCAAACAGAATAATAGTCCTGCCATCGAAAGGTGAATGGAAAGAAAATGCAAAGAGATCTTGTACTTATATAC